TCTGGGGTCTTCACTGAGCTCACAGGCTGAGTCAGGACTTCAGCACATTGGACAGGTCTGGGGTCTTCACTGAGCTCACAGGCTGAGGCTGAGAAAATGCAGGGTCCAGAGTAACCCCAGTTTCCAACTGCTACTACCCAGTCCCCAGCCTCTTGAGGCCTTGTCACCGCCTCACGTTCGAGCTCAAGAAACTCCTGCCGCTCCCCATCACACAAACACCCATGAAGCCCAGAAACCACAGAGCAGAGACTCCTAGAGCCATGGTGGCAAACTAACAAGTCAGGACCCAGCACAGAGCCCTGGGGAACGCCGGCAGCCCTGCGAACCGGCCTGGCGCAGGAGCGCAAAGAGAAGATCCCCGGCAGGACCACTGGGAACCACGCTCCCTGGCTCCGCTGGCTGCCTGAACACCCCATCCTCACAGCCAGTGGCACTGAACACAACTGGAAAGGAGAGAGCACTGAAATAACTCATCTCAGGCCCCTGCTCCCTCTAGGCTCACACTGTCCCACACTCAGGGGGCTGGGGGATCCCCGAATCGGCCGCAGACTGAGGAGGGTGTGAGCGAGGTATTCACTCCCAGTATCCCGCTGCTGAATGAATAACGTCTCTGCAAGCCCGAGTCATGCAGGGCTGTACCTGCACCTCAGAGACAACGCAGGGAGAGCAGACAGGCCTGATCGCCGCTGTGCTGAGGGTCCAGTGTGCCGATATCTCCGCGTTCTGCACTCCTGAAAGCCTGTGGACCGGGCCTGCGGCGCTCCGGGCCTCGCTCCGAGGGGCTCAGGGCTCACAGGCGGCTGAACTAGGCCTTCCTGCCTGTAACATCACAGCAACCCTGAGTCTTCCAGAGCGACGCTCAAACCAGACCTTCACCAACACCGGCCTCTGCCCGACCCAGTACAGAACGGCCCTCTCCCCGACCCAGTACAGAACGGCCCTCTCCCTGACCCAGTACAGAACCGGGCTCTGCCCGACCCAGTACAGAACCGGGCTCTGCCCGACCCAGTACAGAACTGGGCTCTGCCCGACCCAGTACAGAACCGGTTCAGAGAATCGCAGTCACGGCAGCAGGCCCTGCTCTTAGATCTCATCAGAAAGGTCACAGACAAGAGGAGTCTTGGTGAGCAGTCAGTAGCTCACTGGTCCCAGGACCTCACCCAGCTGCTTCCTGAAAGAGTCCAGCTGGGCAGCTTGTTCCACAGCCCCACCACCCTCTGTGTACAGCGCCGCTTGTTCTCGGTTAGGGCGGAGAGGTGTCTAGAGGCCCCGCCCCGCCCACACCCACTCAGGGAGAACACGAAAAAACTCACAACAAGTCGCAGAAAACCCAAGCGCGACCCGCCCACAGCGGGCGGCGGAACCACCAGTCCACAGCAGTCTGATCCACCCAGGCTGAACTACCAGCAGCGCTCTGACAGCACTGGGACCGGATGATGGACACTCTGAACAACCCCGCTCACAGGGGCGCGAGGCTGGAAGTCTCCGTCTGTGTGCTGCTCCAGGTCACCAGTACGGTTTGCAAAGGGCCACCCGCAGCCCGCGACTGGGAGAATGCACACGCAGCACAACACCATGCACGAAATGGAGCAGACACTAACACAGCAGCACTATATCTGGCAGGGCTGGGGCCTTTTGTGGACCCCGCAGGGCCTGATGCAGACACTCGTGCCAGAGGTGAAGGTGGGCCAGACCTGTGAATTTCTGGGGGCGGAGCCTGGCCCGGACTCTGTTATGAAACTATCAGACCCGAGCAGAGATCAGCAGCACACTGTCCCCGCTGACATCACAGTCCCGCCCCCCGCCCCTCCCCCTGCTCTCATTGGTCCACAGCCCCCAGCCAATCAGCGGGGCAGCTCCCCAAGTCTGCTCGGCAACAAGGATGATGCAACCAGCTACAATAACACATTTCCACAGGCCCTGCAGAGGCAGTAAACAAACACTCACAAAGGGGGGGCTGTGCAAATGACACCGCACGATTCCGCCAGCGTGCACACGGCCGGGCCGCCGCCAACACGCACAGCGTGCCAGGAGCAGCTACAGGGCCACACGCAGACGCTCAGCCGGCTGCAGGAAGTGGGAAGGCAGCGTCTCTCTTTAAACCCCGAGCCGGGCGAGGCGCAGGCGCTGGGCCCAGTGGTGTGACACAAACACAGCCAACAGCGCCCCCCGGAGGAGGAAGGTCAGCTGACCCCAGGCTTAGGCAACCCCCCCCCGCGCGCCCAGGCCGGGCCGAGGGGTGAGGAGAGAGAAACGGTCCCCTTTGTGGCGCCAGACTGCGCTCCTGGGTCGGCGCTGGGCGGCTGGGTGCGCCCTCAGGGGTACAGGGGTACACTCGGGCAGCGGAGAGCCCTCGCAGCCCTCGCAGGCTGGACTGGCAAGTTCGCTCCAAGCATAAAAGAGTGGCGTCTGACAGAGGTTTCACACTGTAAGCCTGGAAACAACAGCCAGTGTGAGAGGATCTCCAGCGCACTTCCACACACTTCCTGAAGGAAACATCACTGCTGAGACCCAACCCCCCCTCTGTCGGCCATTTTGTCTCGTCCCCGAGGCAGCCGGGCCCAGCCTGGCTCTCTCTGCTCAGAGCTAAGATGGCCGCCGCTGCTGTTCCCAGACTGCCCTGCAGAGGTCAGAGTGCCAGCCTGCCTGCCTCACAGACAGCAGCACAACCGCAGGGCTGCTCTTAAAGCGACAGCGCACCCTAACAACCACAACCGCAGCAAGGGACACGGAGCCAGTTATCATCATCATCATCATCATCACTCCTGTAGAGCAGCTGAACACTCAGTCTGTAACAACACGTCTGCACCTCTGTGTCCTGTGTCAGGGGGACAGTGGGGTTACAGACAGAGACTGGACACTGGAGCTGGAGAGAGGATAGAGTCACCCAGAGCCCCACACTGACACCCTTCATCATCATCATCACTCCTGAACAGACACTCAGTCTGTAACAACACGTCTGCACCTCTGTGTCCTGCAGTCAGGGTGACAGTGGGGTTACAGAGACCGGACACCCCATCATCACAGAAAGTTCAAGAGAGAACCTAAAACAGCCAGGCCCTGCTGTTGTTGTCATGGGTGGTGTGGCCTGCTGTGTCCGTGAGGGGAACTGCAGTCCTCACTCCAGTGGACAAACTACTGCGCAGTCATGCAGACCGACTGCCTGCTTGTTTATGAAGAGGCACAGTAACCTCCGCCCACAGCTCCGACACAGTCTAGTCTCACCGAGACAGAGAACCATGAAGACGATGGCTTCTTCTTCACCGGAATCAGACACTCACAAGAAAGAAGGTCTTCGGCCCACCAGCCCTGAGCCAAGTGATCATGAAGCCATTCCAGACAAGGAAACAACAGGGCTCATCGCTGCGACCCGCTGTCGCCTGGGAACAATCGCTACCTCCCAGAGGAGACTCCATAAGTGGCGTCACTGCAGTTCTTCAACACTTCTGGGGACACTACAATGCCCGAGCACTTCCACAGTTTTTACAGTAACTCAGCCCCTGAACTAATTCAAGCCTCTGAATGTCTATGATGTCACTTCAGAATGTCAGGGTACTATGATGTCACTTCAGTGAGCCAGCATTCATGATGTCACACCAGTGAGCCAGCATTCATGATGTCACACCAGTGAGCCAGCATTCATGATGTCACTCCAGTATGTCGGGTATTATGATGTCACTCCAGTGAGCTGGCATTCATGAGTCATGATCCAGTATGTCAGGGATACATGATGTCACTCCGATGAGCCAGCGCCCATGATGTCATTCCAGTACGTCGTGGGTACTATGTCACTCCAGTACGTCAGGATCTATGATGTCATTTCAGTCTTCCCCAACGCAGGATAGGACAAACTATTTGGGGAAGCAGCTGCCTATCGGAGAAGAGAGGCTGAACCCAGAGGATACTTCAGCAGTCCCTGCGGTTCAGGGTTAGCTCCCAGAGCAGCAGAGTGGTTCAGAGCACACCAGCAGGACGTAGCGCCAGCTGACCCGAGAGACTCCTGCAGGACACAGGGGTCGGAGTCTACAGTCCCCTGCAGACCCAGAGGGATCGCGGGACCTGTGCCCCAGTGTGTACAGAGCACAATCCTCTCACCAGGCACCAAGAGTGTCTTAGATGTAGTCATCTACAATCCTCTGTTATACAAAAGAGCTATAATGCCAGATAGCTACAAATGCTCACTAAGTACAGACACCTCTACAAGTTTACCAACACGAGGAGGCTGTTGGGCCCATCAGGTTAGTGCTGACAATCGCACCCGGGTGCTGGGCATGTCGCGGATACAATCCGGTCACACGCTGCGCAGAAATCGAACCCAAGTCCTCCTGGGCGGACGGTAGGCACACTGTATGACCGGACCTCCAACAGGTCTGAAGACAGGAATCTCACCCAGCTACCACAGACCAACACACGCTTTGTAAAGCCACGCAAGACCCTAGAACCAACGGCGCAAGCGTCTGCATCAGGCCCTGCAGGAAACAGCGCTGCCGGGTTTGTGCCTGCTCCATCCCGTGCTCGGTGCTATACCCCGGAGCCGTGGGACAGGGACGCTCTTCAGACCCCCCCCCAGGAATCGCTGTTGCCCCAGCTGCGCTCCGGCACCGGCTCGGATCTTCCAAGCCCGAGCTCGAAGGGCCAGCTCCGCGGAAAACACCCTGAAGGACACAACTCCGCCCCAAGGGGGCGACGGCACCGGCAGCCCTGGCCCGAACCCCAACACACTCGCACCCCAAAAACCCGGCAAGTCAGAAAGAGCTGAGCAACAGCAAGAAAGTCCCTTTACAAACACAAAGGCCTCCAGAGCAGACAGGGCGGACCGCGCAGACCCGATCGCCACCGCCCCATGCCCCGCCCCCCAGCCCGGGCCGGGAGAGCGCCCCCTCTGTCCTCACCGCCGCACGGCACGCGGCACGCCCGGCCCCCGCCGGCCCCCGCCGGCCCAGCCGCCCAGCCCGGAAACCCCCGAACCCGCCAACACTTACTGGTGCGCCGGAGAGCTGGCGGCGTGGCGCAGTCCTGGCGAGCGCGTCCGCAGCAGGCCCGGGGACAGAGACCGAGAGAGCACAGCGAGGCCCCTGGCGGAGCCGAGCGCTGCCTGTACTGAGAGCAGCTCCCTCCTCCCTCTCACACACAAAGAGCAGGGGGAGGGGGGGGGAGGGGGAGGGGGCAGGGCCGACACACACACTCGCGCGCACACACACACACGCACAAGCCCCTCCCCTTTTCACCAGTGCACACCCCTCCCCCCCGCTCGTGCCCGCCTCACGACTGCACATGCAGGAGGACCGCGTGCCTGCTGGGGGGAGAATCAAGTCAGTCATCTGTTCCCTTACTCGCTCAGCTCTCCGTTTCCTGCTTCTCTCCCTCTCTCCCTCTCTCCTCCCCCCAGCCACACTGCGTGTCCTCCCTCCTGCCCTCACTCTCCCCCTCCCCCTCCCCCCAGCCAGCTGGCTGGCTGTACAGACCAGAGGCACTTCCTCAATGCAGCAGCCATGCAGCCTGAGCCTCTGTGTGTGTGTGTCAGCTGAGTCACCTCACCCCCGCTTCACGCTCATGAGCTGCTCATCAGCCCACGGAGGGCTAAGTCACCAGCACAGCTCAGCACAGCTCAGCTCCGGCGGCTCTGGGCGGAGCCGGTGGGAAACCACCCTCGCCAGCCCTCTGCTCCGCGCCCGGGCCAGAGACGGAGCTGGGCGCTGGGCGCTGGGGGCAGGGGGAGGAGGCTCGCGCCGACTCCAGTCCGGGGTTTGGAGCGTGCTGTAGCTCCGTCGCCAGGGAGACAGAGCTCCGGGGGAGGGGAGGGTGTCAGGGAGGTGCGCACGGCTCTGCTGTTCCCCGTTACCAACCGGCCAGCGCAGGAGCACAGCAGAGCGGCCAGCTGTGGGCCGGGCCTGGCGCTCGGGTTCGGAGCGGCACCAGTGCTGCAGAGGAACTGGCCCAGACCGCCGGGTAGCACCCAAGAGCTTTCCTAGCAAACCTCGTCTGGCCAGGAACACGGCCTCGCGCGCAGCAGCGGTCCGGTCCGGTCCGGTCCGGTCCGGTCCGGTCCGGTCCGGTCCGGTCCGGCACCCCCAGGCCTCTCAGAGCCTGGCGAACGCTCCTGCCCCAGGGCGAGAGCAGCTCAGGCACAGCTGCCCCGAGGGCAATCCCAGGCAACACAAAGGGCAAACGAGTTGGTCAAGCGCTGCATCTTTGTCGCAGAGCACTTTGCTGAGAGTTTATTTATCTTTGCGGTTATTATTACGGAAACAGCCCACATGCAATTCAGGCCACTCAAATTATTTAAGGACAAAACAAACAGGATTTGTCAGAAAATCTGGAAAACATCATGGCCCACTCTGGCACTGTGAGAACCCCGCCCCCCCGCCCCCCCTCTGTCGGCCATTTTGTCTCGTCCCCGAGGCAGCCGGGCCCAGCCTGGCTCTCTCTGCTCAGAGCTAAGATGGCCGCCGCTGCTGTTCCCAGACTGCCCTGCAGAGGTCAGAGTGCCAGCCTGCCTGCCTCACAGACAGCAGCACAACCGCAGGGCTGCTCTTAAAGCGACAGCGCACCCTAACAACCACAACCGCAGCAAGGGACACGGGCAGGGCTGCACTGCACAACACGGGTCAGGTAGAGGTGCGACTCGAACCGGGAACCCCCGGTGACAAAGCCCTTTAACCTGAACTACAGACATAACGAAACAGTCATGCCCACCCCTCTCACCCCTCAAGGGGACAGTGGTCTGCAGCCCACCTGGACAGCGGTCAGTCTCCTGGGGAGAGAGGGGTCAGCACAGCCCTGCCTGCCTGGACACTGGTCAGTCTCCTGGAGAGGGAGGGAGTCATAATCTTGTAATACCAAGTGCCTGTTTCCTGCATTTATAACATCAAGGCTGGATTTCTGCAGCTCTACTTTATAGGCTCCCAAATCCTCGTCTTAATAAGCTGCAACATTTCCAGAACTCTGCAGTTAGACTGCTAACTCATCTCCCTCCTGCACTGGCTGCCTATAGTCTGGTATTCAACACAAGCGCTTGTCTGACCTTCAAGGCTCCAAACAATCTGGCTGCGTCACACATCTCTGACCTCCTCCATATTGACACTCTTTCTTTACCAGTGTGTGCAGCATCCTTGTGTCCAGAAAGGCGCTTTAGAGATAAAGGTTTTGAGTTATGAGCACTGCCCTGCCTGGCTGTGGCGAAGTCAGCCTTGCTCTGTTAGTCTCCTGTCTTGAGCAGACAGACACAGAGAGAGGGAGCTCTTCACACAGACCATACCCACGTTTCCAGAGCTGGACTGTCGAACCCTTCACATGACAAGGGGCGCGCGCCCCCAGGGAGAGGGGTCTGGGAGTGTGCACCAGCCCGGGGGGACAGGGGGAGAGTGACTGGTGACGGAGACAGCGCTGAAGCGCCGATCCGCGCTCCGGCCCGGGGATTGCAGGATGCCAGGGGCAGGAATGCGCTGGGAGGGAAGAGAGGGGGAGGGGAGGGCAGCTCAGGAAACCGGCCTGCCTTGAGAAAACAGGCAGCTCAGAGCCACAGCTGAGACTGGAGGCCTTAACAACAGGAGCACCACAGACACCTGACACCTGACACACACAAACAGACACACACACACACCTGACACAGGCCCCAGACTGACCAGGACTGGACAGCCCCCAGACACACAGACACAC